TTGTAACATTGTCAACTACTTGAGTGAACGAATTGTAACCGCTGTACTATCCTCAGTGGCATGATTCGCCTGCTCAGCGTAACGCACCAATAAGGGAGGCACAATGGCTATGGGTCTATAATCACTAATCGCTCCCTTCCCATTGTCGTGGAATGTATCAACAAAAAACACGCAGCAGATAGCTCTGTGTCGAAAAGCGTGGGGTCTGAAAGTTATTTCTTTATGCTCTCATGCAGTCCCCTTCGTGCTAATGGTAAGCAACCGAAGGAAAGTGGACGACCCTGTAAGACTTGTGAGATCCGATCCGCGGTCTGCGAAAGTGTTGAGGGCGCCATTCGACGGTGGACCAGGAGCAGGCTTCCTCTTTGCCCTGATTTTTATGCATGCATACTTTCGTAGAGCAATCCTATGGGATGCAATGGCTTGTCGACGAATTGCCCACGATAAATCATTGGTTATCCCTACACACGGTATCACTGTCTCGAATTCGCTGAACGACGACAGTAAGAGTGGGCGGAACGCGGCAATGCGGAAGTGATTCACAGTTATTGTTGTCGTAGTCTTTTGTATAAACTTCCTGTGAATTTCGATTCATTGTGCAGTTCCCGAAGAGGTTTTAGATTCTTCTACCTAATGTTCTGCTTATATAACCTTTTCTTACTCACTTTCCATTTCCTTTCTTCCACTGCAACTAAGTTGATGAAAGCAAGAGAGGCAGAGAAGAACAGCCTCCTCCTATGTACAACCGGTCCTCATCCTCCTGTCTTCATTGACCTGGAACTCCTACTGAAAGCGAGGAACTGTGTCAACGAATGCCTTCGTGGGAGCATAGGAGTCCCTTATCAGATTTGAGCTCACCCGACCAAATGCCTCGGCTACCCTGCGAAAGTTCGACACCAAAAACAGGTCATCACCCACATACAAGGAAAACCACTTACCGTAACCCAGTTCGATCTCCGAAACCGCTAGGAAGCTGACTGTTGGACCGAATCAGACTGTTCTTCGTTCAGGATCCTCGTGGAAGGCCAGCTTTATATAGGATCTCAGCTCTTACGTAATAGGCTTTCTTTCCTCCGGTTCATTTTTGGAATTTTTACCTGAAACGAAGACGCCTGGTAGGTTTTTCGCGTGGTGTACCAACAAGTTCCTGGTGCAACTGCCGCGTGCGTGCATCTCCCAACTGACATCTGCTACAGGGACATTCCACAATAGTGCGATGAAGTAAGTGGGGCTCTGGCATGAACCCCTGACTTATTATCGATCACAAAAGCAAAAGACTGGGGCGATGCTCGTAGAGGGCGCCTCCACGTCTTAGAGTCCGTGAAAGTTCCCACCGACACTCTAGATTGGCATTACCCTCGCATCCCTTAGCTACTACTACTTTGCATTTCTGCTAGCTCTGCCTCTCCTAGCTGAAAGAGTTGTTTCAGCCTCCCAAGTAAGTCTTTGCACTGCTTTTGAGCATACTGTGAGCGCACGGTAAAGAAACACCGAGCGCTCGGATGAGAGACGAAACGACAAAGGGTGTGAGAGCTGAGAGGCAAGCGAGACTGGAAGGTATTTGTAGTGGGCGTGCCCCCAGCACTGATACCAAATCTGTGTTGCTGTAGCACTGAGTGGCACGCGCCGCGACCGTACGCGCCTCATGCAGGCTTTCTCGTTTAAAAGTGCATAACAACTCGCTGATTATTCTCCTCTTCAAATGTTAAACCAAAGGAAATTGTAAACTCAACATTTTCCAGGCATTGTCGCGTGAGGGCTTGGCAACTGGTCGCCAAGAGTATGTCCACGACATGCTTGAGCATACAGCGATTTTGTCGCGAGAACACGCTTCTCGTCATGACGATCGTGTCGGTGGTGCTTGGAGTTACGCTGGGATTCGGCTTACGTCCACTGAATCTTTCCGCTGAAACTCTTCAACTCATCAACTTCCCTGGCGAGATATTCATGCAAGTACTGAAAATGATGATCTTGCCGTTGATATTCTCGTCGCTCATATCGGGTGAGAAGGTCTTTCCTTCTTTTCTTTTTCCTTTTTTTCCACCATACTCTGTGCTCATCTTTCGTCCTTATTTGTTTTTAATTATCATTTTTTGAAAATTTTATTAGCTTAGCAGCCACCCTGTTCATACTCCCCCCTCTGTTCGACGGTAACTAAACGAATCACTGGATTTCAAGCTGTAGCAACAGCCAACTTCCTTCGCGCTGCAGTTCTCCGTTCTTATTCACATGACTGCCGCGCTGCTCCAGTCAACAACCAGAGGGATAGAATGATCCGGACCGTAGTCGATGAACTTAGTTCAGCTCTTGACGTCAGCGCTACTACTTGGTCACGGTCACGGTGGAAGAATCAGCGCCTCGGACTTGTTCATTCTCCTGACGTAAGCGGATCAAGAATTGAATCTCTGCTATCACATTTGCCAAAGGTTGACATGATTTGCAAGCGCGCTACAACCACATGGCAGGTCTAGGCTAAGGCGTACCAAACTAGATTCGGAAGAGTCTTTTGCAAGGCACGACACCCTAAAGTTCGCGACAGGTGAGTTAGCCCCCCCTTCACAACCGACTACCCATCTTTCCATACATCGCAAAATTTGCGTGTCAAACAGATAGCTGGAGGTGGAGCTACCACTGCTAGTAGCTTTTGCCTGCACCACCGAATTGGCGACAACAAATAGTAGGCCAGAAATGCCGGGAATTATGGCGGAAATATGTGGGTGAAATGTTTTTTCATGCCAAATATGACTTCCCTCTGATCGGCAAACCAAGTGCCACCCCCCCCCCCATTGGGATTCCCATCGTACAACGTGCGGTTGTCAGAATGATGAGAAAACAACTTGGCAGGACTTTCTTTTTTATGATTTCCTGTTGCCAGATCTTTTCAGTCCTACTTGGGTAACCCTGATTACCTGTACATATTTCCTCATTCTAGGTTGTTAATTAGGTAGGATAGTTGTCTTGGAGTAGCAAAACGTTAACTATCATTAAGTGCGCCATAACTCTTAAAAATGCCAACCTATGCGATCGTAGAATGGCGGGCAATTTGGGCAGGGCTGCCAGAGAACACTAAACAGTGCTTAGGTGCAATATTTTCAACCTGGGCCTTTCAAGTGCCTCCGACTCGCCCCCAAATCCTACGCGTAACTGAGGCGCCGACATATGACTCGAACCTTTGCATTTTGCATGCTTTACATTTCCCTACCGTTTTATACGGGCGTGCTATTCTTATCAGTCGCCTGCGTGCGCGCGACGCAGTTTGAGGCCTCACCGAGGTTATGAAGCGTGAAGTCGGAATGCGGGAACATGTAATATCAAAGGATTACTCTTCTAAGTCGTTTATCTCTCGGCGACGTTTCAGGCCTTGAGCCCTTCTTCAGGTCGACTTCCTACGGGAAGGAGGGCCTGGGCTAGAGCGGGTCCGGGATGGAGATTTCTATAGGAAAGGACAGCTGGGGAGAAATCCTGACCGCACTCCATCCGTATCCCTGTCTCTTAGCTCAGGCCCTCCTTTCCCGTTAGGAAGGTCGACACGAGCAAGGGCTCAATTGCCCCGAAACGTCGTCGAAGAGATAACGAATTAGAAGGGTTTCATTTTATCCAATCAAAAGTGAAAACTCCGAAATGGGAACATGGAAAAGGCACTAAACCTAAGAGCCAGAAACATATCTGTAGATCAAAGAAATTTTGCCTTCTCAGTCAGATCCGCCGTTCTACGATGAGAATTAATAGGATCTCAAAGCGTTAAAAGGGCTGTTGGCACGGATCGGATTTGCCTAGTATAAGCCGTAAAATGCTAGTTCGGGCGCTGTTATAGAGTGGGGGGAAATGTGCGATAAGAGCGGCCGAGTGAAACGCGTCAAAATATATTACTAAGGAAAAAGCCTCGTTTCTCGACTAAATGATTTCGGACGAGTTTCCCGTAGGCATCTTACCAATCACCGCTACCGAAGATACGGCTGCATATGTGTACCCATGTATGCATGCAGCATCACGGCCGCTTCATACCAATCCCTTCGCTTCATAATTTGCTTAGCAAATGAATGAATACGAGCGTCAGGAACGGTCGTCCATTTGTGGGCGGGCGGGCGTGGCGGGCGTTTGGGACGTAAAGTTGTGGCTTGATAGGGCCCTTATAAGGGCACCTTCCTCGGGGAAACCGCTATGCAGCGCCTGCCCAGGGTCGCGGAATTCTATCCTGCCAGGAGTATTGATCCTAGTCGTCTTGGGGGATTTATCGTGCCAACTGCCTTTAACTGACTTGGGAGGGATTCCTACACATGAGCGGAGTGTCCTTTTAGCCACATCGCTATGGGATACCTGTCGAGAGTGTTAGTATTCAACATAATATCAACATCAAATATCACATCAATATCGACATAAGTATTTATCAAAGCAGTATGGCTGGAGGTGGGCATCTTCCAAGTTCCCGTAGAGACTTGGAAACTTGCGAAACAAATAACGCCACACATAATGGAGCTCGGATCGTTTCGCTAGTTTACAAAAGTTTACAGGTTTCACCAACGCTAGAAAAAAAAGAAACTAGGAAACTAGAGAAAAAAGCCCCCCCCCTCTCTGCCCTCCCCTCAGGCAGAACAGTGCAAATCTATTTAATGAGAGTTCTACAGAGACAAGACTCTTTTTATCCATGGAGTTTCTGAACAGTATCCTTCAAAACATATTCAAGCATTATGCTGCATGTTGAGTTTCAGCACTGGCTCAAATGGACGCAAAAGAGTCGGGACAGATGGGTCTGGCAACTGTGCTGTACTACCTAACCACTACCATACTAGCGACATTGGTGAGTTCTTAGAAACTCACTTTTTTTACTGATTGACTTCTTTACCTGAATATGATCATCTTTCGCTTTTACCGTTGTTTTTGTTAATACCGTGGTTTTTCGTTTGTTGATGGGAAGGACAAAACTGAGTTTTCAGCTTGGAATAACTCTTGTGATGACGATACATCCCGGTGATCCGTCTATAAAAGGCGAAGAGCTCGCCGATGTAGCTGATACAGACGTTTCACCTCTGGATACGTTCCTGGATTTAGTTAGGTGAGTTGACAATTGACTTGTGAAAATTGGATTAAAGCTGAATCACGCGATAACCTGTGGGCGAGAACTTACAGTCCCTCCGAACGAGAGGGCTTGTAAGGAAGCGTGGACTGATGCACAGTCAGAACAGCCTTTTTCTCCACCACTTTTTGTGGGCTCAGGATGACGTCAGTTGGTGGAAGAGGGCCTGACGCCTGGCCTCGCTCACGATCGCCTCCTTAACGCCGCCTCTCCACTATGCAGAGATAATGAATGTATGGGCCCCTGCGTTACGCCTCAATCATTCGAGTGCCTCCTTCTGCTTCGTGAAGGAAGGCGCCAATGACGAAGGCGGTATTGGTATGAGTCCCGCCCATCCAAGAAGCTGACAGAATTTGGAAATTGTTCCACAATTCGAACTTTCTTTACGTCAGTGACTCACAAGAGGCTATCAGTTATAATGAAAATTCTTTGAAAAATACAAAAAAAAACTCAGAATATGTATTTAGGAACATGTTCCCGGAAAACATTATCCAGGCGACGTTCGAGCGTGTACAGACGAAGTACGTGGCGCATCGGCCACATATTTCAAAAAATGCTTCTGATGACGTCTTTATTATGAAGAAAACGATCAGCCCCACTCGTGGCATGAACATTCTTGGTGAGTTCTGCAATTTAGACTGCACTCAAGCAGTTCCTATGAGGTCTTCTTTGCCCAAAAAGTTCCGTCCGTAATCACAAAAATGTCTTACTTCCACGGGTCCATAATTACTAACGAGGGCGCTGCGGCCATCGTAA